CCCCCTCCCTCACCCCTCCCTTTCCAAGCATGTAGTAGAACCTACGGTGGCCGTTGGGTTTTCTGCCGTTGTCTGTCCTGATTTTGTTTTGCTTCTTCATGTTTTCTCTTCTTTGACGGTGAGGATTCACCCTCCTTCACTTTTTTCTTGTGATAATAATAAGTCTGATCCTCCACTTGTCAAAAGTTTGGGTTGATAAACTTCTCACAGCACAAAACGGTCAGCAGCACTGGCGGCCACTTCAACAAGAAAGGCGCCCTCTAGAGCCATGTTTGGTTTGTCCGTTCTGGGCTACTGTAGAAACATGGCGTTGCACAGTGACGGCCTCTGTTGGAAGAGGAGCCTATGTAGATACGAAGGTCTTGTTCTATATATGGGTCATTGACATGACATGCATTTTTTCATCCAAGCCCATTATTTTCCTCGAAAATAATTTAATAAATACGACATATATGAAATTATTCAACAATACTTCTTTTATGTGAAACAACTTTCATATCAAATTCATTTTAGTTTCTTTTTGCCTCCAAAACTCTAAAAATGTCAGGTGGTGCAATCGTCCAATCATAAATGCTGATTAATTACACTATCAAAAAAGGTAATTTTAGACATCTAAAATTCTAAATACAATAGTGTTACGACCTCCAGTCATGCTTACTTTTCTGTGTTTTCCCTTTTGTTTTTCTATGATGTGCAGGTCTGTGATTGGCCACACGGAGAGGTATAAGAGGTCGCCGAGCCACCATCTTGGGAGACGTTCAGGGCTCTTTCCCCTTTGACATGACCTGGAAAAACCCCTGTCCAGACCCACTCAGCACTCTTCACCACCCTCTGTGTTTTGCTTCGTTTGTAAAGTCAATTCAAGTTTTCAGATTCTGTGCAACTTTCTGTGAACACTGGTAAAGTAGGGGAAGGCGCCACTTTGTTTTGGTTACTTTTTGTCCTGTTTAAGGTAGGGAGTTGGAGCAGCCATATGTCTTTTTGTTTCCTTTGTTTTTGGATTTAGTTAGATTTGTATTCGTTAGTAGTTTTGTTTGTTATTTTGGCATAAGTTTGTCCCTGAAGCCATCAACCTAACTTGTGTTTGATCTTTTGAAGTAAATAAACTGGCCATTTTCTGACCTCCATGGTGTCTGGTCTGGCAGCAGGTCTGGGGAGAGAGCCCGCTCTCATTCTCTGTTACGGCCTGACCCCAGACTGAGTCGTAACAAATAGTTTGGCTGATTTTATGTTTGAAAACTTTGAAATAAAATCCATGTTGCAAAATAAGCCAAATTTAAAAGAGCTCAACTCACTGAAAAACCTTTGTCTGCAAGTTCTTACTTCCTCAAATGTCAGGCAGCACAACTAAAAACAAAGAACTTTTATTTAGACATGCTTTTACAGTAGAGGGGCCAGGGTATTGCCACATAAAGAAGTCCCCAGGTACATTCATGGTGCAATGCAGAGGCACAAATTTAGAGAAAGTGTGTTGTTTGAGCCGTGGTTAAAACGGTTCAGTTTACCATGCCAGGTGATCCGACCTCAGGAGAATAAGGAAAATGTTGACTAATTATTATAACGTTTATTTATTTGAAAAAATGTAAGTGTAAACTCAAGTTGAAGGGCAAAGTTTTCTACGGGTGTCGAAGTAGATGCCTTTGTAATTTGAAATTAGTCTGAAAAGTCAGGTGGCGCAACCAGTCAGTCAGATGGAGCAACCAGACCAGCACAGCTTAATAACTGAAATAGGTAATTAAAGCTTTGATAACACTCAATATATTTAAGACATAAAATACACAGAGATATAAATATGTGCAGATATATATATATATATATATATATATATATATATACACACACACATGTACTCTCTTTGCAAAGCCTGTATCTGCTACACCTGATAGTTTGACCCCAGTATATCACTTAAGGCATTTTTATAGCAGAAGTAAATAATTAACTCTGTGAATTAGTTTCTGAGTAACACATTCAAAACGCACATGCAGGCTAACTGTGCTAAAAGCAATGGAGGCTAACGCAGTCAGAAATAACTTCAGTGCAACAAGGTTCTTCCTCCCTGTAGCTCGCAGTGTAGCTCGCTGCTTTCTCTGAAGGCTGGACACTCTTAAATACGATGGTTCTTCAAGGGTTCTTTAGCAAAAGGAACGGTTCTATTTAAAGCCATGAGTTCTATATAGTTCCATGTCATGCTTAAATGGTTCTCTGTGTGGTGAAATGGTTCTTTGGACTGAAGGAGAATGTGTTGTGTATGGGTTCGACTATTGTTACGATGTCAAGCTTGTGGCAGTAGAAGAACCCTTTTTGGTGCTATACAGAACCATATTCAACAAATTCTCCAACAATCAAACAAACAAAGAACCATTTAGGCTGACAGAACTCATGATTCTAAATAGAACCATACCTTTTACTAAAGAACCCTTGAAGAACCATCTTTTTAAGTGTGTAGCTGAGTTTGTTTTTGCTGTGTAACTGTTAGCTTAGCATTGCTACAGTGCTAGCT